GGGGGCGAAGATCACTTCGACGGGCAATTCTACTGCTGCGGGAAATCTCCGTGATTAGAAAGAAAAAAAAAAACCCGTCTAATTTCAAACTAATGAGTAACACAGTACGTCATGAGAATGAGGCGATACAGAAGGAAATCTGGGTCAGGCGAGAACTGTGCTGTAACAATATCGTTTTCAAACCTGGCTTGCTCTGCTGATTATAATTAGAATCGCGATGTCTCCTTAATTAAGATTAATTATTGATTATAATCGGTATTAATAATACATTAATTTAACTAGGTTAGAGACATGGGCTTTTCTTCCTGATGGAAATAATTATTTAAATACATGTACTTCTGGATAACAACTGCTTGTGGGTGGTTGGGAGGTGCTCTATTTTTATGTGTTTGCTACTCTCTTGTAACACCACCTCTTATCTTTGACACTTAGTCCTATATCAGGACCTAATTGTGTTGAAAATGTCGTAAAACTCTTACTAAAAATAAATTAAAGATCAAACAATGAACTTGATGTTCATTTAGTTCAGTCAGTTGGTACATGTATTATGCTGGACTGCAGAGGGGATGGCACTGGTTCGAATCCCTGATGGGACATTAACATTTTTTTTAAAGTAAGAGTTTTACGGCACTTTCAACACAATTAGGTCATATAAGCGCCGAAGATTAGAGGTGTTACAAGAGAGTAACAAGCATAAAAAAGAAGGAGAGATCAGGACGATAGATGTTTGATAGGAAAGAAGGAGCAAACCACACCAGGGCACCCGCCAACCTCCAACTGGACATTTTTAAACTTACGTTGTTTTAGGGAAGGCTTTAAAGGCTGAAAGACAAGATAGTCCTATCAGACATGGTATGGGAAACCAACTGGAAAAAGAAAGCGAGGAAGACCAACTGGAAGCTGTAGAGGCACAATAAGGGATAATGCAATCACCCAGGCCTTGGATTTGCCGAAATTGGACGACGTGGCCAGGGACAGACACAAGCGTGGCGTCAACTGTTCTTCGTCAAACGTAGCCTACCTGACAGTATTGGGAGAGAGTAAGTACTGTTCTGTAAGTTTAAAGGCTGTTCACCCATTTGGCGTGGTCCAATCGGAGACGGACGTTAACTTTGGAAATCCTGTCTCTTAAATAACTTACGATACGATGTTGAAGAGGGCGTTAAACCTATACAACAACGGATTCCCAATAATATTAACTCTTTTGACTGGCATCATGATGAAATCAGCTGCTCGTCCAAATAATGAAATGGAAGAAACCACCATTTTTCCATGTTTTGGGCAAGTTTTATTGAATCTTTCGTTTTGGGCTCCCCTACATTTCAAAACACATTCCTACTTGGATTTTAGTGAAAAGACCGGTGTGGCAACGACTGCTCTCCGCCTTATCATGTACCTGACAATATTGGGAGAGAGTAGGTAAGTACTGTACTGTTAGTACAAAAAAAAGCTAATTTGCAGTCTCCAACAACACTTACCCATGCCTGGTCTAGACGCAAGTAGTATGATCACACATTACATACATGTACTAAAATGACATCAACTGATAAGAAAGACAAAGACATTTTTTTTTCTAAAATGAAAATACAAAAATGCTCGACAAAACAAAAATACATTTTAAACTTTTATTTTCATATATTCAAAGGCCTACAGAGAATGCCTGAACTTTCATTTCGTTTCATCTATAAAAGCCAGCACATCCAGGAAACGTAAAGAATCTATTTAATATTAATAATTATGCTTTTGAGGGTCTGAATACGGATGTCCATTTTTATATATATATATAACAAAATAGGTATTCTATTTAATAATGTGAAACTTATAAATAGGGCTGATCGGTGCCCATGGCAGCCAACTTTTCAAAACGAAAAAAAAACCCAACCCACTCCATGATAAGGCAGGTCAATATGGTGGGCACAGGTCAAGGGAATCCCCTCCAAATCCTTAACAATAAAAAAAATTATTTGTGTATCCAACAAATTCAGGGCTCCCTTCTCATTATTATTCACAAATCTGGTCTTGAAAGTTCATGATTTTCTTCCACATTCGCAATTCTGAGATGAGCAATACTAATACTAATAGAAATTAAAGAAATCATACTTTCTGAAACATAAAAGGACATCCTTACTCACCAGACCCTCAAAAGCATAATAAATACATTTTTAAAATCCCTGTCGGCAGCTATGACGAGTGTCTATTCATTTCTAAATCACATTCTTCATCCACTTTAAGTACTTGACAGTAAAAGGTAGTTTCAGGAGGAAAAACAAATCTTCCACGATTATCTTCCAGACCACTCAGTACAACACTCAGCTAAATAATGTTTGCCACAATTTTTTAAATTTTTATAGTAGAGGGTTTTACGGCGCTCGCAACTGCATAAGCGCCAAGGGGTGGGTGTCAACAGAGAACTCCTTACAGGGAATCAGACTTAGACTGCTCACCTCTCTAGCTTCAACAGCACAAGGTCTGCTTCAAGTATCAAGGCACCCCAAAATAGCAGGTCACAAGGGAGTGACTAACATACAAAAGAAGTAGAGGAAAATGACAATAGTAAGGATCAGGAAAGAAAAAGCAGCAGTTCCCTGTTGTAGATCAGGCACAGTTATGAGCGTGACATGAGTCAGCCTATTTACAATTCTACTATGCTTGAACGAGAAATGTCCCACCTTTAGGAATGGCCTAAAGACACTTCAGTCAGTGGCACTGCCCCGGGGGGATTGCCACAATTTGTTTGCACAGCACAGGAACAAGCTGACTAGTACAAACACGGGTAAGATTTTTCAACAGAAAATCAAGGCAAACACCAGTCTTTATGAAAAAATGTGTTCAGTATCTTATGAAAAGCACCTATGAAAGTCAATCCGAACATTCAAGCAAAAACAAACTAAAAAAAACAAACAAACAAAACTGCAGGGAAAAATAAAGCAATTTTAATTTTCTACCAGAGAAGCGCTCAGAAACAGTATGAGTTGAGTAGTAGTATGTGGCAGTTATGAAGTTTTAAATCATAAAGAAGCTTAACCTTCAAAATGCTCACAAAATTTTTTGCATTTTTTGGCGTAAAACCTAAAAAAACAAGCCCACACCCAACATACATAAAACTGATTGTTTTAGTAAGCATTTTACGGCATTTGCAATGCAATATATAAAGTCATATTATTGCTGAAGATTAGATGTGTTACAAGAGACGGACAAATACAAAACAGAAATGGGAGAGATAAGGATAATAAATGTTCGATAGGAAAGAAGGAGCATACAATACCAGAGCACCCGCCAACTATCCACCATAAAACTAAACAGAAATTGTCATGCAACCAAAAATAACACTACTGAACACATTACACAATGAATCAATTATCTTCAAATCTATGTACATGATAAAAAGATGCAAGCGGACATGATGCTTAAACTATAGACCAAGCCCATCACATTATTAACAAACACACAGAGCTCATCAGGAGTTTCAACTTTTTCCCATATAAGACATTTGCATCAGAGAACACCAACAGATACAAACTGATTTTGCATTTTTGGCAACTTTCAGGAAACAAATTCCACGAGGGTATCATTTCACACGGTTTTCACAGCTTTTCTTTCAGACTAGATGCAAATGCTGTGATGTGAGTGAGAGAGAGAACATCCCTTTTTGGGGTTTTCTTTAAGTAAACATTTTGCGGCACTTGTAACACAATTTGGTCATATATGTGCTGAAGATTTGAGGTGTTACAAGAGAGTAACAAACACAAAATAGAAGGAGAGATTAGGAAATTAGGCTAATAGATGTTTGATAGGAATGAAAGAGGGAGCAAACCACACCAGAGCACCCACCAACAACCCACGTAAATCCACTATCCATTCATGGCACAACAATAAATAAAACCAAATACCACTCATTTACACGAATGAAAGCAACACAATAGGGTATGTGGGAGGAAATTTATCACTTTAATCCCACTCACATTCAGCTTTCTACACAGCATCCACCGTCATTTGTTTTGTTTTTTTAGTAAGTGTTTTACGGCACTTGCAACAAAATAAGGTCATATATGTGCAGAAGATTAGAGGTGTTACAAGAGAGTAACAAACACAAAAAAGAAGGAGGGGAGATAGAGACGATAGATTTTTAATAGGAAAGAAGGAGCAAACCACACCAGAGCACCTGCCAACCACCCACACCGTCATTTGTGTTGTAACAGTTAGACGATGCGCGTGGGGAGAATTTTTATCGAGAATCACTGATCACCTGTACAAACATCCACTTCCTACTATCACCGTTGCTGGGCTTTTTATTCTATTATAATGACACTAAGACATCCAACTAAGACACCCACTTATCTCCTCGACAATAGACAGTCGTCTCAGACAATTTCAACTGTATTCACACATTCATCACTCTCTACGCACATGTCAGGACAATAAAATGCTGCTAGATTGAAACCTCTACATCATGCAAGAAACGACAACAACAAAAACAATGATAATGATATTCTCAGTCTCATTTAATTTTCTGTTTCCCAATACTTTGACCATCGTTCAACTCAACATTCTCGCCACTGTGTTGTTGTTGTTGTTGTTGTTGCTGTCGTTGCGCTCCACACCACAGCCCTAGCAGGAGGAGGGCGTGGCAGACGTGGAGGGCGGAGCTACTGGCGACTGTCGATGGGTACGTGTTCCAGCAGAACTCGATCACACCCAGTAGGAGAACTCTGGGGAGGGGGGAAGAAAATGTTTTTGCTTAGTTTTAGCTTCTTTTTTTTTAGTAAGAGTTTTACGGCTCTTACAACACAATAAGGTCTTATAAATGCCAAAGACTAGGGGTGTTACCAGAGAGCAACAAAGACAAAAAAGAAAGAAGGACGATAGATGTTTGATGGGAAAGAAGTATCAAACCACACCAAAGCACCCGCCAACCACCGACAGTTTTAGCTTCAGCAAGAGTTTTAAGTCAAGGTACTTGCAACACAATTAGGTCACATACGTGCCAAAGGTTAGAGGTGTTACTAGAGAGTAGGAGAACTCAGAGGATGGGGGAGAGAAAAGAATGTTTGGTTGAATTTTAGGTAGGAGTTTTACTGCACTTTCAACACAATTAAGTCATATATACATGCCAAAGGCGCTACTAAAGAGTAGGAGGATTTTTTTTTTTGGTAAGTGTTTTATAGCGCTCGCAACTGCATAAGGTCATATGAGCGTATTAGGAGGACTCGGAGGAGGAGGGAGAAAATATTGCTTGGTTTAGTTTTAGTTTAAAATATCTCGATAACGACTCCAAATAATCTTACAATTTTGACAGAGTAGATAGAACATTCGGTTTCTGACCTCATGGTCTTTGCAACTCCTAACGGCCAAAAATGTCAGATTAAACACTGCTATTCCAAGGTAGCGATGTATATGTGTGTGTGTGTGTGTGTGTGTGTGTATGTGTGCTGACTAATGAATGTGTATGTGTGTATATAGTGTCGGTGGCCTAGTGATTCGGGATACCGGACTCATAATCGTGAGGTTAAGGGTTCCGGGGTACGAGCCGTGGGCCCAACGATGTGTCCTTGGGAAAGGCACTTTACACGAATTTTCCTCACTTCACCTCGGTGAGAACGAGTACCCGACCATAGGCAGCGAAAGGTCTCGTCAGCACGTTAGCGTTTTAGCGCCTATAAATGGCTGCTTGCACTGTATGCTTCCCAAGAAGTTGAGGTTGTTTCACAATGCTCTCAGGTCTGCTGGGGTAATAGTATAGATGGTGAAGCGCATAGAGCTTGCTGTTGCGCGGGAATTTGCGCTATACAAATGCTATTTATTATTATATATATGTGTATGCGAGTGTTTACGCATGCATGTGAGTGTGCATTCATATGTGAGGCAGCGTGGTGAAATCAGGCGCTCATCAAAATACAGAAATATGAGAAACAGGCATTTTTCTGTCAGTCTGGAAATTTTTATCAAATTTTTATTTTTGGTTCAACCACTTTTCTGCCCATATAAAAACACATTTCCATGTGAATTTTACTGAAAAACATTGATAAAAGGAACAAAATATTTTTCTGTTTCCAAAGACTCTTTAGCTATTGGAGTAACCAAACTTTTGCGGCCATTTTCTCGCTAATTTCACCACCGAAACCAAGCGACCTCACTTCCTTCAGTCGCAAATATCTCGAATTCTATTAAAGACAGATGAATATTTATTTCATAGGAAGCAAGGCAAATAAATCAGCTTTTAGACGGTACCAATAACTCTGCATGCCCAAAAATTGACGAGCGCCTGATTCCACAGTGTCGTAACACATATACCATGTTGCAACAAATTTCTCTTTGAGGAGATCAATAGAATCTTATCTTATCCAACAACACGACTCCATCAACAGCCCTGACCTGATCACAGTGGGGTAGGGGCAGCACCAGACCAGGTAGTGCAGGGAGTGGAAGTACCAGACGTAGAACTGGTAGTGCAATGACCGGCTGAAGCACATGCCGATGAAGTTAGCCGTGAACAGCGGGAACAGAATCTGTGTTCACAGTCAAGGGGAATAAACACAGCAAGCCTTACGTAAACAACACTTTCTGCGAATATTCTATTGAAGCAGCATAAGGCCCGAAAATTTGAGAAAACTCACAAACAGAAATGTCGTAACACCCCACCACAATACAACAAAAATCCCCCCCAAAAAGGTATGCATGCTTCTCTACAAGAAATTTACGTATTGTTAAAAAAAAATGTAAATTGTTGTTGTCAGACTCTAACTGTGTGTACAGTAAAAATTTTAAATAAGTCAAACATATTATAGATTTCAAATTATGCTACAAACAACTGTAATTACAACTGGTGATGCTATAATCACAAATTCTTTTTTAAAAAGGTGGATGATCCAGAACCGTTATAGTTTCCTCAGTTGTAAAGTTACAAGAACCAGACAGTTGTTAGTGATTAAAAAGAACTGATAATCAACAACAGTTTTCAGAAATGAAGGATATGGTCGGGAGTAAGTCGCTTTCTCAGCCCTCTGCTCCAAAACTGAAGGCTGGCCCCTGGGAAAAATCTGAAAAGCACAAAGAATAGATGTATAATCAATTAGGATATGTATGTGCACATACATATTTCAAGTTTTAGGTCCATATACTCATATGAATTTGTATCAATATACCAGCCAGAATGTCGAACTGTGTGTAATTTGTTTAAAAGACGTTTTAAAAATAATTGTTTCTCCATTGTGCATGTGTTTGCTTTACTTATTTGTTGTAATTTTGCACATTGATTATCTGTGGCAAACAGCAGCCTTCGAACTAGAGACTGGGATGTCCATTTCGAGATGAATGAAAAGAAGACTAACCCTTTCCATCTGTAAAGGAAAAAGAGCAGTAAGCTTTGAAAAATTTGAGTAAGTATTTGCGGCACTTGCAACACAATAGGTCATATTGGTGTCGAAGAATAGAAGTGTTACAAGAGAGTAACAAACACAAAAAATAGGGCCTAGGGAGGTAAAGTAAGACAGATCTTTGATAGGAAAGAAGGGGTAAACCACATCAGAACACCCGCCAACCAACCACATCAGCAAGTTTACCACGAGGACCAAAATAGCTACCGTATTCTGCCCACATGAAAGAAAAGTTTCTCAAGGCTCTGATTTGCTTTAAACCTTTTCCAAAAGAAAAAATAGCAGTAGGGTCACCACATGGGCCAAAATTATTACTGTAGTTTAACCCTATCCATACGCCCTGGGGTCATTTTGTACCCCCGGGTTGTATTCTTTACATTTTAGAATACTTCTAATGTGAAGATTTCTTTGAAACTTTCAGTATTTCTCAAAAAAATCATTTTGACAGACCGCTATGCAAAGCGTACGGATCGGATTAACGAGTAAATTTCCTTTTGGAAAGTAGTGGCACTGAGTTCCCCAAGATAGTTAAACACGATGTACAGATAGGGTTAAAGAAAGGTTTCTCACAGCTCAGGGTTACTTACCCTTTCCACTTATAGAGGAAAAACAGCAGCAGGGTCACCACGTGGGCCAGCAGAAGGCCAGCCTGGAAGTACTTGTTGAGGAAAATCTCCTCCGGCAGGAGTCTCCAGTTGACCGTCCAGATGTAGAAAAACTGGCGGCCCAGGTCAAATGACCGGACGATGTAGCCCACAGGGTTGGCCATAAGGAATGGGAGAGCCAATAGTAGCTGTGTGTTTGTGCATTTATGAGCATATTTTGTGTGTGTGTGTGTGGGGTGGGGGGGGGGGGGGGGAAGAGAGAGAGAAAGAAGTCTGATTAAAGCTTTGAAGTGAAGTGATGGATGCTGTCAACATGAATTCATAAGATAGTATAGTTTTTAAAATTTGGCCCATTTTGCCAGGAAACTTTTAGTAAGAGTATTATGGCACTTGCAAAACAAACAAGTCATAAAAGTGCCGAAGATTAGAGGGGTTACTTGGGAGTAACATGCAAAGAAAAGAAGGAGAAGAGATAAGAATGATAGATAGATGATAGGAAAGACAGAGCAAACCACAGCAGAATGCCCACCAACCACCAACGAAGGCAGATAAGGTCAATCGTAGCATCACAATGAAATGAAAAGGCATTACTATACTACAGGGTCCAGAAATCACTAACTAGACTTGTGCTAAACATTTCTCCTGCTTGCAATTCAATAGATATACGATACTAAATGGCTTTCTTAACGACTTAGTTCTATGGACAGTCTGTACAAGAACTACACACGTGGCGACCCATTGAGACTTAAAAGCCAGCCTTCCGGATATACAAATTAAGGGTAACCATGAAGCACACAGGAGGGCAAACAGGGATGGGAATGTCACATTCTACAGTATCATCAAAAGTAAGAAAGTAAAGGACATCCATCCACACTAAACCCAGGAAAAGAGTTGAAGAATTCATCACTCCTATTAAAACACATCAAGCATTCATACACATAGTTTCAGATCATCAAGACAATAAATGTGTACACATGATGAGTACATAATTAATCCACAAAATATGGGTGTCTTTCCGTTTTCCTAAACACCAGTAGCTAACTTTTCTTCCTTGAATGTTAAAGGTGATCATCAGTTCATGATGGACAAACCATTATTAACATTATCATTATTATTAGATACTATGGACATATTCACACCTCATACCTGTGGCAAGGCACAGATGGTCAAGTGCTTGACCGTCCCTGCAATACCCTGAGTGACCACAAGGAGGAAGAGAAGGGCTGGGGCAAACAGTAGCAGGTTCATCTTGATCGACACACCAAGGCTGAAAGCACAGAACAAATACAGTTAATCACTTAACATCGTACAGAGTTTTAGAGACACTCACATTTCTCACTGTAACGGGAGATAAGGAGAATATTCACACTATAGAAAAGGAGGAACAGCATTATGAGAAGAGGAAGCCCACAATATCTTGAACTTGAAGAAAGCTATACCTTGATATTGGGAAATAATTATATTTAGAAAGAAAACAAAAATGTTGATATTAAAACGGTAACGAATTTCACAAGGGAAAAATATAAAACATCGATTTTTAAAAGTAAATAATACAGTGATTCTGAATCGAAATATGAAAAGTGTATTTACAGGCTGAAGTCTGCTGAATGATTGAAATTCAACTATAAAGCTCTGCTAAATCTCCTATATATATATACAGTCTGACCCACACATAGTGAGATCAGCTGGAAGCAGAAATATTTTTGCTATGTACAAATTTCCTTATAAACGTATACATTTAAAATGTACAGAATGTAATGTACAAAAAAAATATTTGGGATCAGAAAAATTTGTCCACTGTGTGCATTTTTCTTTAAGTGCAAGTTTGCCATGAGCGTGTTCGTTATGTGTATTTTAGACTGTACTGTATATATAAATAACTGTTACGTGCACAGAGCTAACCTGTAGAACAGACACCCATATGACCAGTGACCTCTCATGAATAAGTTCACAGCCAGGTAGAGAAAGAACATGGCCACGGGGTCGTTGAACAGTCTCAGAATGAAGATGGAGTGAATCCGATACGAGAGAGCACACATGAAGAACAAGGCAAACGGAGGGACCTGGGAGGTGATAGAAGGAAGAAAAACAATCGTTATCAATAATGATTGTAAAGGTCAGTTAATCAGCTTTGAATTTTAATCAGAATGTATTGAATGTTTAGACATGAAGAAATTTCTACATCTGAAAGGATACTGCCTTCATTTACATTCTAAAATATTCTTCTAATGTCCGAATGCATTTCAATAATAAATATTCAGAAAAAGTTCTTTAAAATCAGCAAAAGTTAAAAGTAAAAAGTCAATAAAATGTCAGTTTGTGAAGTAATATAAAACTATTTAATACTCACTCATATGTGCCTTATATACCCTAACTGAGGGTGCGGTGGAGGAGCGGTCAGTGCGCTCGTCTGCAAAGCAGAAAGTCCAGGTTCGAGCCTCGGTTCGGACACAGGATTTTTTCCGCCCCCTCTTCCAACCCAGTAGTAATGGGTACCTGACTTGAGTTGGGGAAGTAAAGGCGGCGTGGAAAGGAACTGGCCACCCTACCACAATATGCCGAAGGCCCAAGAAGTTGTCTCACTAACAAGACAATCCCAAATGTCCGGATCGGATGCGGGAACAACTTTATACTCTAACTCCTCACTTGCACAAAGTAGTCTCACTAAATTATTGTTGTCAAATTAATGGGCACAAGGCTGCTGTGTCACTAAGTCACTACAAAAGTTATAAAATCAAACACAACCACGGCAGACACCATGGTAGACAGAGTCAGGTCAAGATGTTTAGTTTTAGTACGTTTTTTTCAGCACTTGCAACACAATAAGGTCATATGAGTGCCAAAGATTAGAGGTGTCACAAGAGAGTAACAAACATAAAAATGATGGAGGGGAGATAAAGACGATAGATGTTTGATAGGAAAGAAGAAGCAAACCACATCAGAGCACCCGCCAACCACCCACAGGTCAAAGCGATAAGTGACTTACTCTCTTAGCTTTCCTGTAAATGTCAAAGACAACAAGCAGATTGAGGAGGTAGATTGCAGCAAAGATGTACTGGGCACGTCGTATGTTCAGTCCTAGATCTGTCACGTAGTACAGACCCATGAAAAGGTACACAAATCCAGCAGGATATCTGAAAAAAGAAAAAAGAAAAAAATGGAACATTGAGCACCAAGAATCGTTTCTTTTTTTTTTTAATGTAGATATTTTTACACCCCAATCAATACATTTAGGAAGCGGACTTCTCCTGGCCCTGCCTGTCAGGGCCAACATAGGCTGAGAGTGATACAACATCTAAGCACATAGACCGAGATACCAGATAAAAAAGCCTCCAGACTAAACAAAAACATTTCTAATATACATGCATGCTGCTTTTAAAGTCTTTCTACAACTTGTTTCTTGTTCTTTAGTCGTACTTCACAGACCAAGCTCATAATTTGCTGACACCATCTGTTTACACATAGCCCTACATTTAACTTTCAAACTGGTTGAATGCAATTAGTAGATTCTTTAAAAACCTTAAAGAGCGTTTAAAATATTTAAAAAATCATTATGTTAGTAGTATAAACAATAAAAGTTCAAACAGGTAAAAAAAAAAGGGAAGATAAACTAAAAGAAAAGAGACTAGGGAAGCACAGACATTGAAGAAGTATACAGAAAATGTAAAAAAAGAGACAATTATAATTAACCCAAAAATTGAACTCACACCAAAGGTCCGGTGTCTCCTTTTAGCTGCATGTAGTCATATGTTCCATTCACGACACCTTCCACCTCTTGCATGTAAGCCACCCAATCAATTTCAGTGTCTGCAACATTATGCAAACATTGAAAACACTGTACAAAAATCAAAACAGTACAAAGCCAAAATTATAGCATAAATGAGAAATGCGCAAGAAAGAGGAAAATTATAAATGTTTTTCGAGACGCAGCACATGTAAAACTAACATATAGGCCTACCTATATACCTAGATTTATATCTTTGTATTCAAATACAGAATATTTTCTGAGTTTTTTTTCAAATATTTTCTGGGTTTTATCTTTCCTCTATATCCTTTTCTGTCTTCACATGAAATGCTCCGATGAAACCCATCATATGTTACAGAAAATTATTTTGAGATACCTGTATAAAACTAGAACTCATTACAAAGTTAATTTCATTTTGAAGAAAATATGACATGATGGAAAAATGTTGCTAAAATGGACATCAAATTTAAGAGAATCCCTAACAGTAAGTACCAACAGTTAATACATCTTAAAGTTTAGAGAAGTCTTATAACTTTACAAGTAAAGCCCACTCTTGTTTTAGTAGAGGTTTTACGGCGCTCACAACTGCATAATGTCATATGAGTGCCAAGGGGTGGATGTCAACAGAGAAGTCCTTTGAGGGAATCAAACTTACTCTGCTCACTTCTCTTGCTTCAACAACACAAAGTCTGCTTCTACTATCAAGGCACCCGGGAAGCAGCAGGTCACAAGAGTGTGACAAACATAAAAAAGAAGTAGAGGAAAACTGACGATAGTAAAGATAAGGAAAGAAAAAGCAGCAGTTCCCTGATGCAGTTCAGGCACAGTTATGAGCATGACATTGATGAATCAGCCCATTTATAATTACAATTCTACTGTGCATAAAAACACTGCCCCGGGGGATAAACCCACTCTGCATGAAGGATACATGATGAACATGTGTAACACCAAAAAAATTAATTTAAAAAAAAAAAAGGACAGGGGGACTGAGTCTGAGATTACCATAATCTAGTCTATCATATAAAGAGTATTACTACTATAGCTGCTACACACAACACAGTGCAGTACGCCCGCCCTAAATTCTTAATAAAAGACACTATTCTGCATTTATTAAAATGTGCAGGTCCCATGAATGTCTGTGGAAAATTAAATCCAAAGACTACAGAGATAAAATTATTAAGAGAGACTTGACAGAGGGAGAAGAACTTGAGCTATTTTTCAAAGATTTTAATCACGGTGCAACGAAAGCCTTACTGTGACTAGAAAAAAATAAAGAAAACTAAAAAAAGCATGAGACCTTAAGCCTTAAAGCTGTCAGGGAAGGGAGGGGGACAGGACTGACGACGTCTAGCTCTGCAAGGGGGTTTGAGTGGGTGAAAATATTTCGGGTGGCTTTATGACGAGGAATTTCCCCGATCCTAAGGACACTAGACAACTGTAAACAGACTATACAGTTCGATAAAACGGACAGTTCTCGCAAACAGCGAATCGGACACAATTTATCATTGCATGTAAAATCGGGTCTTAAGTTTAGACTACAGAAGCTAGAGGGCATTTGCATTACACTTAAATTTACTGGGACCAGGAATTTAATCAGCATTCTCCAGTTTTGGCCCAAAGACTACTGTAAAATTGATACTGAATTAAATACTCTGTATCAATGTTTTATCTCAAAGAGAGCGAGAGATGCATTGCTATTGTCCAAGTTCGGGCCTTTCCTTAACCCTCTAAACCCAAGCTTAAGTAATTAAAAGTTTACATAGAAAAAAGGGGATTCCTGTAAAGTCCCGCTGTAGGGGTCAGATGGAGTAGTCGTGCATATCTAGATCTACACAAGGTGACTGTGACTATGAACTTGAGAGAAAAAAAGACAGCTGAAAAGGCCATTGTCAAACAATGTGGCCTCACTGCACACACAACACGGCGAGTTGCACAACACGATACTTCTAATCTATAAAGAACGAGGGGGGACCTTCTGGTTACCGTGTATGTATGTAGACTCTCAGACTACGTGCCTTGATACCGTGTTTGTAGACATTCCATTACTTCTTACACAATAGACGTAGATCTACATCATTAACATAATCATTAGGTAGTGTCTACGTTGTACACAGTAACCGGGCACCTAGCCTCAGTGTCTACGTACACGGTAACCGGGCACGTAGTGGTCTCAGTGTCATGTCGGAAACCGGGCATGTAGCCTCAATATCTACGTATACGGTAACTGGCAACCGGGCACATAGTCTCAGTGTAACGTACACGGTAACAGGGCCGGCCAGAATTCTAAGTTCAGTTTTTGTCATCCAGTGTAGCCTTCATCCCCACCCCTCCCCCGAGGGTACCTTTTAAAAGGATCAACAATACCCCCATTTCGGAGCCCTATACTTCGCAGCGCACAGACTCTGAATGAACTTTGGTGACCCCCAACAGGTACTCACAATGTGATGCACACGAGCAGGTTCACTAACCGGTCCCGATGGCGAGCCCGAAGTAAGATGCTTGTATGACTTTCTTTTTTTTTTTTCAGCAAGTGACAGCACAGGACAAAATAATTTATTTTCATTCCGGTTTACCGTGTACGTAGACACTGAGACTAGGAGAGACTAGGTGCCCGGTGACCGTGAGCGTAGACTCTCTGTAATCATTAATATTATGGAAGAGGCTAGCCGTACTTAATGACGGCTAGACTGGCAGTCTAGCCGTACTAAGTACGGCTAGACTCGCAGTCTAGCCGTACTTTATTCTTAATATGATGGCTAGACTGACCTATTTACAAAAAATAGGCCTACTGAATTGTAAATATACATTTTTAGTGTGCAGTACCTAAAGTAATTGTATTTGAGACGAAACCAGGGGCCTTAATGACAGTGCATGTATTTTAAACCTCCTGTTTTCTAATGTTAATAGGGCCTAAGATAAGTACGGCTAGACTGGCAGTCTAGCCGTACTTAAGTACCGGTAGACATCCAGGCTAGCCGTACTTAAGGACGGCTAGACTGTCAGGCTAGCCGTACTTAATATTGATGGCTGAATTGTAAATGAAATTTTTAGTTCGCAATGCCTAAAGTATTTGTATTTCAGACAAAACCAAAAGGTGCCTTACTGACTTGCATGTATTTGAACCTGAATAATTAAGTTACTAGATTATATATATAGGCCACCTCTATTCTCACCCGGAGTGAGAATAGTGCAGGCGAGTCTTGTGGCTATTCTCACCCGGTGCGCATTCACCAAATTTTGCGTTCACCCTAAACCACAGAATTCTACACTGTGATAACAGAAAAATTGTAGAATTCTGTGCCGTGAACAAACGTTCCATTACAATTGTAGCCTACTAAAAGCGTACAATTTTGTCTGTGGGCAGTGGAGAGAGAGAGAGAAAGAGAGAGAGGAGTAGCGCGAGAATTTCCGGGCAAAACAAAATGGCGACCCGCGTAGTTCGGCTCGATTCGAAAAGTTAAATAGCCGTAGCATCTTTGTAGACAACCAAATTAATTTACTTTTGTGTTTTAACATCATTTTTTAACTTTGTTTTGGTCAATTTGATCGTCCACACCGATAGACAGTATTCAGAAAGAGACAGAGAGAGAGAGAAGAGGGGAAGAGTTGATCTTGCGAGAACTTCCGGGCGGGTGAGAATAGCACTTTCATATAGATCTAGATCTAGATCTAATGAGACCTGTGTACTAAACTTAGGCCACCTCTATTCTCACCCGGAGTGAGAATAGTGCAGGCGAGTCTTGTGGCTATTCTCACCCGGTGCGCATTCACCAAATTTTGCGTTCACCCTAAACCACAGAATTCTACACTGTGATAACAGAAAAATTGTAGAATTCTGTGCCGTGAACAAACGTTCCATTACAATTGTAGCCTACTAAAAGCGTACAATTTTGTCTGTGGGCAGTGGAGAGAGAGAGAGAAAGAGAGAGAGGAGTAGCGCGAGAATTTCCGGGCAAAACAAAATGGCGACCCGCGTAGTTCGGCTCGATTCGAAAAGTTAAATAGCCGTAGCATCTTTGTAGACAACCAAATTAATTTACTTTTGTGTTTTAACATCATTTTTTAACTTTGTTTTGGTCAATTTGATCGTCCACACCGATAGACAGTATTCAGAAAGAGACAGAGAGAGAGAGAAGAGGGGAAGAGTTGATCTTGCGAGAACTTCCGGGCGGGTGAGAATAGCACTTTCATATAGATCTAGATCTAGATCTAATGAGACCTGTGTACTAAACTTAGGCCACCTCTATTCTCACCCGGAGTGAGAATAGTGCAGGCGAGTCTTGTGGCTATTCTCACCCGGTGCGCGTTCACCAAATTTTGCGTTCACCCTATTCCATAGAATTCTACACTGTGAGGAAAAATTGTAGAATTCTGTGCCGTGAGCAAACGTTCCATTACAACTGTAGCCTACTAAAAGCGTACAATTTTCTCTGTGGGCAGTGGAGAGAGAGAGAGAAAGAGAGAGAGGAGTAGCGCGAGAATTTCCGGGCAAAACAAAATGGCGACCCGCGTAGTTCGGCTCGATTCGAAAAGTTAAATAGCCGTAGCATCTTTGTAGACAACCAAATTAATTTACCTTTGTGTTTTAACATCATTTTTTAACTTAAGTACGGCTAGCCACTTCGTAATATTATAGGATAGCAGCCTATTGACAGGGCACACCAGTTCACAAGTAGATCTAGATCTAGATCTTCTTAAAGAAGTCGACAGGCTGTAGAAGAAGTGAAAATGTACTGTTTATCAGTAACCAGGGAATCAGAAAGAAAAGAGAAGAATAGGGATGAGTGAAGTGAAAGAGTAACTGAAAGTGAAAGACACTGCAGACTGCACTAGATCTATAATCTAGATTAGATCTCTAAGTCACTAAGTTGAAGAGAGTGATCATGAATGAACATTGAATGTCAATGGGTGATGAGCCGGCAGCTGGTTCTCATACTCACACTTTATCTTGAAAATAACCAATAAATTTACAAGCAGTTCTGCAACAAACAATACGATCATGGCAGGCAATGACATTGCTGGGTCAAAAATCACCCCGAAGACTAATGTCTTATAGCGTCCATAAGGTTTTTGATTTGGAGCTGGCATCCTTTTCATGGAGGTCGCCATCTTGAACACAGAGTTTATAGTTCACAGTTCACAGTTCACCGTTGAAAGGTCAAGAAAATATAAAACTAGGATGTCCCTTTACGAACAGAATAAATAATGTAAATTAATATCCAAGATAATACATTATGTAGAAGAAGGAAAACAATTCTGTCCAGTGTCCAGAACAGATGCTGTGTCAATCTCAGTAATTTAATTTGATAAATAAAATGTCTACACCATATTGACAGGCAGAAACTAAAGCCCTTTTATTAGGGAAAATAACATTGTCGTTGAGATCATTCGTCTTTCCTCTTAAAGACTGTTCTTGTTAGTCATTCATCATTGTGTATAAATACGTGGACATGGGCAAGTTAGTCATTAATATAACATGTAGGGTCTACACTATTTATGTCGAAATTCTACGCGTTAACAGTCGCTATTCCTCTTATATAGACATTATTTTTTAACTCCACCTATTGTCTGAAAGAAACTAGGCTAGAGCAGACAGATTAAATTATGCTGACGCAATCTCGCGTATTCGACCTGAGAACTGAGAACAGACCATCTGGATTTGCACTGCAAGCAACAGTTGTTTACAATAGAGAGGTGTATTTGTTATGACTTTCAACACACCGGAGTATAAACGTGGCTGTCGATGAAAATGAAAAGCGAGAAAATTGAAACCGCCTGAGTATCATTATTTTGATTTCACCTCCCGACTAGTGAAAATAAAACAATAATAACAGGCCCCTGTTTTAAATCAGACACTTTCACAGAGCGTCCATATTTTTTTAATATAAAAAGGGCAGATTTTACAGAATAAACAATTGGTACTCTTGCCTGTTTATATTTATGTTTCTTATTTATTGGATTTATTATGACAGTTTGGTCAGATCCTACAAAATAAACGAGTTTCTTCTGCTGTCGTCTGTCTCCGCGCAAGTGTCCCCGTTTTTAATTGAGAGGTTGGGGGGGGGGCTAAATTCTTTTCTCAATGGCGGTTTTCCTCGTTGCAGTTACGTGTACCCGTGTTGAAATCTTATGTTATCGCATTGTGCACATGAATTCAGCTTGCAGTCGAACCCGCTTTAACGGATACCTCAACTATTGAAACGCTCACTTCCCATTATTTAATTTTTCTCTCTGTATTTTCTTTTTATCTTATTTGTATAATATTATAAAGACACAGTGTAAGACATCCATTTTATCTCCTTTTTCTTTTTTGCTGCAGAAAGTTTACTTTCGAAATAAGATTAATTTTTAACATGTTTAGGAAATTACAGTGACAAATTTTAGAAACCACCGTCTGCTTTCTTTTTAAAAAGTTTCGGCTTTTATCGTGTCATCATCATTGCCTTTTTCACCCTGGATCTGGATATAGGCAACGAACAAACACCTTCCACCCTTCCCTATCCTGAGCGAGTTGCGAGGTGTCACTCCATGTCTTCCCACTTTTCTGTACATCCTTTTCCGTGACTCTTCTCCAGGTTCCACTTGATCTTACCCTTGATCTTTTACCCTGTTGGTTCCAATTTAACACATTCCTTGTTATGCACCTGCTTGACTTCCTGAAAGTGTGTCCAATCCATCACCAACACCTTCTTCCCACCTTATCTCTGACTAAGCTCTGTCTCGTTTTTCTTATGTCCCTGGTCCTCAAAATACTGTTCAAAGAAATAAATGCAGTCTGTGCCTTTCCAATACTGGACTTTACGTCACGCCTGTTCCTCCCTTTTTGTCAATTATACTCCCATGATAGCAGAAGGATTCGACGTCTTCTAGTACATTTCCCTATACTGTGACCAGCTCCTTTCGTAGCGCATCTATCCTTAGGACTTTGCACTTTCCGGGGTGGATCCTCAATCCTGTTAAAATTGTGGTCTTTGCTTGCATCTGTTCCTGAGTGTGTGACAGAAGCGCCAAGTCATCTGCAAAATCCAGATCGTCCAGCTGTGTCCATGGGGTCCACAGTATGCCGTTTCTGTGTCCTCTGATGGTTTTCTTGACCAACCTGTCGATTGTCAAGATAAAGAGAAAAGGTGACAGTAAACATCCCTGTTTCACGCAGGTCTTAATGTCTAAGCTGTCAGTGAGCTGGCCATCATGTATAACCCTGCAACTTGTCCCTTTGTCCCTTCGTACATGCTCCTGATGAGGTTAACCAAATTTTGTGGGATTCTGTGAGGTCTCATTATCTTTCACAGTGTTGCTCGGTCTGTACTGTCAAAGGCCTTCTCATTGTCAAGAAAGTTGACGATCAACTGGGAGTTCCACTACAGGGACTGTTCCACAATGATCCTCAGCGTGGCAATCTGGTCCGTGGTTGACCGATTTTTCCGAAAACCAGCCTGTTCATCCCGAAATCTTGGATCCGTTGCAGACTTGATTCTCTCCAGAATGATTCTGTTGAAGACCTTGCCTGGCATTGAGAGAAGAGTGATTCCTCTGTAGTTGCTGTAGTTGTTGAGATCCCCCTTTGTAGGAAGTTTCACAAGGTGTACGTCTTTCCTATTCTTTGGGAACTTGCTTTCATTCCAGATCCTGGTAAACAACGGGGGAAGGAGGTCTGCCGCCACATTGACATCTGCTTTTAGGGCCTCATGTGAAATCTGATCAGGACCAGCCGCTTTACCGTCGTTCAGCTTCTTACCCACAATCTCTTGTTGTGATGGAGCATCACAGCAGATTGGTAACTCATTTCTCACTGGCAGGATTTTTGGCGGGTTACTTAGTGGTGGTCTGTTCGGAAGACTGTTGAAATGCTGTACCCTTCGTCTTGGCTGAGTTTCTTTCCAAAAATGTTTTTTCTCTCTTGGTCCTTATTGTTATTTCTGGTTTCCCATATTTTCCAGAAAAAGTCTTTGTAGTCTGGTAGAGGATTCGCTTGTTCCCTCCAGCTGTTGCCTCCTCTGCCCTCTCTGCCAGCCTGTTCATGAATTCCTCCTTGTCTTTTCTTAGTGATCTCTTTACTTCTTTAGCTGTTGTCCTGTATTGATCCAATACGTCCGCTTTTGATCCCCTTGTTCTACTTGCATTTGTCTCTGCTTTCAAATGTCTTCTAGTGTTAATCAGATCCAATGACCGTTGGCCAATCCATTTCTTGTGCTCTAATTTCTTCTCACCAAGTATTTCTTGATATGTTGAAGCAAAGGTTTCTTTGACCTTGGTCCAATGCATCTCCACCCTCCATTTCTTCCTCACCAAGATCCGCCAAGGGTTGAAATCTGTTTCTCAATTGCAGTTGAAACTCTTCTTTCTTGTGTCCGTCTAAGAAACTTACTTGGAACTTCGTTCTTTTGGTTCCTGTTCTGGTTCCGTGTTTTTTTTAGGCGAAGCGTGAGTTTATCTTGTAGGCCTACATAAATGAGTTCTGCCGAGTTTTGGGAACTTTCTCCAGGCGAGCACATATCACATATTTTCTGCTACCTTCATAAAGAAACAGTACTGCTCCAAGGATCGAAATATTAGACATTCTAACTTGCTATGGATTCTCTAACAGTTAAACAAAATTCGTGGGTAAAAATATTCGAACAAAAGTGGCACAATTTTTCTTTTCGTTCACAAAGAACCCTGTGGGTGGTCAACACGGTAGGGCTATAAATATGTCTGATTCAAAGCTTCGAATTCGAAATCTACACAGGATGAACAGCAACTCGAGCTTGCGTTGTTCCAGTTAGCAACAAGACAGAACCGGCGTTTCGAAGTAACACACAAGAGATCCGAGTTCGATTCCCGAGAAGGGAGAATTTTTATTAAATGTCTCACTCTTTCCACTGAGATGTTGTACTGTTGTACGGTATCACTCTCAGCCCTGGTTGGCCCTGACCACCTCCGAAATACGATTAAAATTGTGTCTATGGGGACATAAAAAAGCTCACACACCACAAAAAAACACCAAAAAAACCAACATCCCCGAGATGTGGGAGTTGGGAGTGTCAAATCCAGCTGTTGAAGACCATGATCAAATGTAACGTTACATAGCTTGAGGGAACGCCTTTCAACCGTCGCTGCTTCACATTGTGTTTTATCACGTCTGTCTGTCTGTCTGTCTGTCTGTCTGTCTGTCTGTCTGTCTGTCGGTCTGTCTGTCTGTCTGTCTGTCTGTCTGTTTGCCTGCCTGCCTGTCTGCCAGTCTGTTTGCCTCTGTTTTTCTTTTTCTTTTTCATTCTTGCCTTTGTCTTTCTGTTTAGTCTTCGATTATTTGTTGCTACCTCGCCCACTTCTCAACTCCCCTCCTCCCCC